TGATGAACTGGGACCCATTATTAGTGAACAACTCCTTCAGTATGCCGAATCAACATATCACGTTCTTCTAGATGAATCCCTTCACTTTTATGTCTTATACCAGGGCAAATGCCTCGGCTTCTATCCACTTGGTGAAGTAGTCAATGACCGCCAGTATGTATACTCATTGCCCCAGTGCGGTTGGGAGTTTATCGACTATGTCCATATCTCACTTCATGAATGACCAAGGAGTAAGGATTGAATTAAGTCTTTTGGGAGGGAGGTGTGAGACATTGGCGAACCTTTGGCAGCTGTCACACTCCTTGATATAGGCTGTTGAATCGGTTCTCATGGTAGGTCAGTAATAATTGGTTGTGATCATGCAGTGGGTGAGACTGTGTCCCCCAGCATGGTTCCCGCACTCGCCTTCATGTATCTCAACGAGGACATATTTGGCTTGCTCCGGAGTGAAGCATTTGAGATAGGGGTCAAAAAATGACTTTTTTAGTAGCTGACCTTCATAGATTGTGAACCTAGCAGCCTTGGCTCTGAGTTGGCAGGCTTCGTTCTTGTGAAGAGGAAGTTCATCATTCACTAAGTACCGGACGATTGGAGTCATCCATGAATCGACCGAGCTGATGTCTAACACTTTTGACAACTCTCTAGGGATGTGAATGTCTTCTATCTGGGGATCTTTCCAGTCTGCTGGCCATTGTAGAAAGAGAAGAAGGATGGTTGCTGAAGATGATCCTTGAAAAGTTGATTCGAGGTTGGCTAGGGTGTTTGCATGGGCATTCTCTGTTCTCGGTACCTACGTGATTGCAAATTCTTCGAAGGAAGACTAGAGCTCTCTTACTATGTTGAGGTATGTATTCATCTTTGAATCCCGGGCTTCGTATTTTCCTTGGAGTTGATTAACCACCAATTGAGAATCAGACTTGACTTCTAGTTTCTTCATTCCCACATCTTTCGCCAGGGTGAGCTCGGTTATCAGTGCCTCATATTCAGCCTTATCATTAGTGCACTTGAAACTGCATCTGATGGCCCTTTGGATGATGTCTCCCTCTGGCGTGATCAGCACGATGACCAGGTTGCTCCCGTTTGAATTACTGGATTTGTCGACTGAGAGAGTCCACCTACAGGATCCGACATTTGTCATGCACAATAACTTTTTTTCTACTTGGACGAAGGTGTTGGTGTGAAGTCCGCAATGCAATCGGCCAGTGCTTGGGATTTGATGGCTGTTTGGGGTTAGTAGGACATCAAATTTGCTCAGCTCAACCGTCCATTGGGTGAGTCGTCTTGACAACTCTGATTTATGGAGGATCTTTTTCAGTGGGAAGGTGGTGAGGACGACTATGAAATGGCATTGGAAGTATGGGTGAAGCTTTTTGGAGGCATGGATGAGTGACAAGGCTAACTTCTCCAGTTGGCTGTATTGGGTCTCAGTATCAAGGAGCGACTTGCTTACATAATACGCAGGTAGTTGCTTTCTCTTCTCCTCTCTGACTAGAACGGCTAAGACCACCGTTTTAGAGACAGCCAAGTATGTGTAAAGTGTCTCCCTTATGAGGGGTTTAGAGAGAAGAGGGGGTAAAGTTAAGTACTTTTTCAGTTGTTGTAAGGCTTCTTCACAGGCCAGGGTCCATTCAAACTCCTTTGATTTCTTGAGTGTGGTGAAGAACAAGTGGCAATTGTCGACCAAACGAGAGATGAATCTACTTAAGACAGCTACTCACCTAGCCAGACACTGGACATCTTTGATGTGTGTGGGAGAAGATATGTCCAACACAACTCGGATTTGATCAAGATTTGCCTCTATTCCACGTTGAGTCACCATGTAGCCTAAGAACTTCTTGGATGAGACCCCGAATAAGCACTTAGCAGGGTTGAACTTCATGTTATATTTCCTAAGTACTGAGAATGTTTGGCTCAGGTGATCAAGATATTACTCGGCCATTAAGGATTTGATGAGCATATTGTCTATGTACACCTCCATCGTGTCTCTGAGTTGTTCGACAAACATCTTATTTACTAGCCGCTGATAAATTGGCCCTGCTTTCCTAAGCCCAAAAGGCATCACTTTGTAGTAGTATGTGCCTCTCTCGGTGATGAAGGCTGTCTTATCTTGGTCATTCGGATGCATCATGATCTGGTTGTAACTTGAGAAGGCATCCATAAAGCTGAGCAGCTCGTGTCCCGCCGTAGCATCCACCAACATGTCTATATAGAGGAGGGGAAATGAGTCTTTCGGGCATGCTTTGTTTAGATCAGTGAACTGTATGTAGACCCTCCATTTTCCATTCTTTTTCTTGACACCACTACATTTGCTAGCTGTTCTGGATAGTGCACTTCTCATACCAACCCATTGGGTAACAGCTTCTCAACCTCCTTATTGATAACTTGGTTCCTCTCCGGGGCGAATTTCCTTCTCTTTTGTTTTATCGAGGGATGATTGGGGTCCACTTGGAGTTGGTGGACGATTGCGTTAAGATTGATCCCTATCATATTTGAATAGGACTAGGTGAAACAGTCGTTGTTTTGCTATAGGAATTTGATCAGTCGTTCTTTAATTGCCAGACTCAGTCGGGACCCAATTTGAGTCTTCTTCTCGGGATGGTTTGGATGTATCTATACCTTGTCCAACTCCTCCATTGATGGTTCATCTAGATCAGCTCTGGAAGTTGGACCTGACTATAATTGCTATAAAGTTTGGGACTTACTTTTGAAGGCATTCTTGTAGCACTCCCTAAAAGCCTTGGCATCGCCCTTGATTTCACTCATGCCCCATTTGGTGGGGAACCTGATTGTCTGATGGAACGTTGATGGAACAGCTCTTATATCGTGGATCTAGGGATGACCCATGATGATATTATGGGGGGAAGGATAGTCAAGGACCAGGAAGACTGTCTGGCAATTCACACTGCATGCATAGACTAGTAGAACAATCTCTCCAATAGTGTGCTTCTACTTTGAACTGAACCCGATCAAGATGGTTGGGCACCTGTTTATGTCAACTTTGTCTAATCCCATCACCTTCACTGCTTTTAGGAAGAGTCTGTTGGCCAACAATCCTCCATCTACAAAAATACTCCTGACAAGGATCTTAGCGATATGAAGGGTGATCACTAAGGCATCATGATGCATGGCTGTCAGGGTGACAAGGTCATCATCTTCAAACTGGATCACTTGTTTTGATGGAGCCTGGATGGGTGGATGAATCGAATGAACTTCTTGGTGGTGCGTGACTTGGGCATGTCTCTTTGCTAATAAATAGCTAACTCCGCTGATTACTGAATCCCTGGATATGACATTGCAAAAGCCTTTGGGTTTCGGATCATTGGGAGGGGGTGACCTAGGGCTGTCAATCGAGCCGAGTCGCTCGCGAGTCGACTGGGCTCTACTCAACTCATTAAATGCTCGAACTCGACTCGATTATAATCGAGCCGAGCTGGCTCTAATTCGACTCAAGTAAGTTACCGAGTCGAGTTCAAGTCTACCCCGACTCGGCTCGCAAGCCAACAGTGGCTCGTTTAGGATTTTTTTGCACATAATACAAGTTTTTGGCTTTTTTTTTTTTTTTTTTTTTTTTTGTAATTTGACATGTAAAAGATTAAAAAGTTTTAAAAATCACAAATAAACCCTAAACCAAATAACCCCAAATCCCCAATTAACCCTTAACCAAATAACCCCAAATCCCTAATTAACCCAAAATCAAATCGTGTAAATTCATTCTCCTTCTCCCCCAAATCAAGAACCCTAAAACAAAAAACCCAAAAAATAATTTCCCGATTATCACGCCAAGCCACCCACAAACACAAGAACTACCCAATCACCGATAACCACCGCTTCTTGTTGCACTGTTCATCGTTGACAACACTGATTTTTGCGAAGAATTTGTGAGGAGTTGTGTATCTTGACGGCAACAAGTTCGTTCCTTCATTTGTAGTTGGGTTTCTTTTTTGGATTATTGTAGTTGGGTTAGTGCAGAGATGTTTAGAAAATTGTTTTGATTTGGTTTAGGGAATGGATAATGACTATAAAATTGTTTTCTGGTGTGATCTGTAGCTGAATAATGAATGATGGTTATAGCTGTGGATCTTGTTCAGCTGAAGAAACAACCACCATTCTTGTTCAGCTGTTGCTCATTTAGATTATAAAAATAAAATAAGAAATATATTAACAACTATGTTGAGGGCTTATTTGCTAGCTAGAGATTTAGGCAGCCATGGAAGAGCCCATAAAGAGGATTGATTTGGTACCTCTTCCTCCAATGTTCCATATTAACATAAGAATCCAAAAGTATATCGAATATTCTTGTAGTGACAAGATCAAAGTAGAAATGTGAGATAGAATTATATTAGATATAATTATGACAATGATGCCAATTATTTACTTGGCTGTAGAGGGTTTCATTTTGCTATTGCCATTTTATTTAATGTGGGATGACGTATCCTTTATAGTCCAGAGCATAGACCTTTGATTTCATTGGAAGATTAATAGCTAGACGGATTAAGGATCATGCAGCCATCTTTCTATGAGAAATAATTACTCTAAAAATTTGTAGGTAGATGACAATCATTTAAAAAGAGAATCTTTAAGTATTTTCTCTAGTAAGAAATTATTTATTTTCATTCCTACAGCAACAAAGTTGTGGCAAAATCTGTTTGTGTTGGCTGAGTTTTTTGCTGCCCCTGTTTGTGTTGCCTGGGCTGATTTTTGCTACCCCTGTTTGTGTTGGTTGGGTTTTTTGTTGCCCCTACTTTTGATGTTTGTGTTGGCTGGGCTAATTTGTTGTTACCCTTATTTTTGTTGTTGATTTTTTCTGATTTGTTGCTGCCCCTGTTTTTGGTACCATTTAGTTGCCTGTGCTAATGATTTTTATTCAATCAACCCTGCTTGTTTTTGTGGTTAATAAATTGTGTTAGGCAGGACCATTTACAAGTTTTTTTTTTTTTTTTTTTTTTTTTTTTTTTTTTACAGGTATAACATCCACTAGCCACCCGACATTGGATGAAACAATGAATACGCAACCAAATGTTACTTGCTTGCCGAATGAGGATGCAAATGTTAATCTCTTTCAAAGGAGAAAGAGAACCAAGACATCTTCAGTATGGGCTAAATACAAAGAAGTGGTCCTTCCTAACGGTGAGAAGAAAGCAAAGTGTATCCATTGTAAATAGAAGCTTCAAATTCATGCATCCGAAAGCACTACACATTTTGGAAGACATTTACAAAGGTGTGTGAAGCGAGCTACTTCACGTGGACAACAACATATTAATTTCCCCCTGCTGATTCTAGTGAGGGAACATCTGTCTTTCCTGTTCTTACCAGTAAGTTTGACATGACGGTGATGAGGGAATTGATTGCACAATGGGTGCTTATGCATGAGCACCCATTTACCATTGTGGAAGAGGAGGGTTTGAACAATATGTTGAAATATGGGATTCCAAAATGGTCAAGGGTTTCACGCAATACATGTAAAAATGATTGTGCGAAGGTGTATGAAATGGAGAAATAGAAATTGAAGACATTGCTGAAAGGTGTAAGGAGGATTAGTTTGACCACAAATTTGTGGAATTCTGACAACCAAAAGTTGGAGTATATGGTTTTGATAGGGCATTGGATAGATGATAATTGGAAGTTGAACAAAAGGGTTCTTAACTTTGTTCGTTTACCTACTCCAAAAGGTGGTGTGTAGATTGCTGATGCAATTTACAAATGTTTGGCAGAATGGGAGATTGAAGACAAGGTCCAAATGATATCAGTGGACAATGCTACTAGTAATGATGTGGCAATTAGGGTGTTGAAGCAAAATTTTACAATAACAAGGTAGTTGAGTTGTGGGGGTAAAATGTTTCATGTCAGATGTTGTGCACACATCTTAAACCTAATGGTGCAAGCTGGGCTTTCGCAGATTAGGAGAATCATCGACAAGATCCATGAGAGTGTGGTATACATTAATGGTTTGGAGGGTAGGTTGAAGGTTTTTGCAGAGATTGTGCAACAATTGCGTTTGCCGTGTCAAAACTTATCATTGATTGTAAAACAAGGTGGAATTTAACCTATGACATGTTGGAAATTGCAATTAAGTTTAAAGAAGTGTTTCCAAGATACAAAGAAAGGGATGAGGGTTACGAACATTTTCCAAATAAAGAAGATTGGGTGAAAGTAGAGAAAGTCTGTGAGATTCTAAGGGTTTTTAGTACAATGACCAATATCATCTCAGGGAGTAATTATCCAACATCAAATGTATTTCTAAGGCAAGTATGTAGGATCAAAATCTTGTCGGATAAAAAAAGTGAAAGTGAAGATGTATTTATTAGACAGATGGTAAGAAAAATGAAAGAGAAGTGTGATAAGTACTGGGGGCAATGTAATTTGTTGATGTATGTGGTAGCTATAATCAACCCTAGGTACAAAATGAGGGTGACTGAGTTTTCTTTCCCTAAGATGTATTTTGACGTTGAGGCACGGACAAATGCTACAACTATTCAGGATGCTTTGTATGAGGTATATGGGGAATATGCTAATGATTGTCAGTCATCTAGTGCAGTCTGCAGAGGTACAAGTGAAAGGGTTGGACTTGGAGTAATTCCCGAGGGGTCTACGGGAGGAGGAGTTGATGATTGGGAATTTGATGATTTTCTGAATGAGGTTGAAACTATTGAGCCAAATAAATCTCAGTTGGATATTTATCTAAGCGAGGCATGTTATAAGTGTCAGGGTGATTCGGAAAATTTCGATGCTTTGGATTGGTGGAAAGCGAATGCTTTGAAGTACCTTATCTTATCTAGGATGGCTCGTGATATACTAGCTATTCCCATCACTACAGTGGCTTCAGAGGCTACTTTCAGCGTGGGTAATAGAGTTATTGACACGTATCAGTCTTCGTTGTCTCCTGAAACAGTGGAAATGTTGTTATGTGGAGCCGATTGGTGTCGCATTTTAAATGGAGTGAAAAAAGGAATCACGGTACATTTTTAATAATATATTTATTATTTTATTCTACAATTACTTTTATTTCATTCGAACATTGATATTAACTTTTTTTTATTTTAAATTTCAGATACAGAAGGAACCATTGGAGATTCAATTTCCGGAAGTTTGAGTTTTTATGCCGTTTTGATGATAATTTCAATGTATTTTAATGGACATTTGTGTGTTATTTTTTATTTAATTTTTTTTTTTTTGTTTTTGGTCTTGGATTGTATAATTGGTTGTGTAATACGTTGTTTATGTTGATTTGGATTTGATTTATGTTGATTTAGATGCAAATTTATTAAAAAGTAGATATGATTTGTGTAAAACAAGATCGGCAGGTTATATTAAAAAAAGGCCAAACGAGCTGTAATCGAGTCATAATCTAGCCAATTCGAGCTCGCGTTAAACAAGCCGACTGACGAGCTGGCTCGTTTATAAACGAGCTGAGTTGAAAGATAGATGCATGGAGAATCAAGCATATCATACTATAACAAGTATAGTCATAGTTTAAAAAATAAATTTCAATCAAATTGAAATAAGTAAGGTAGAACATGTTACCTTAAGCCCTTAGCAACCTTGGAGCCTCTTAATTTCAAGAGAAATTAAGCAAAAAAGTATCCACACCAAGGGAAGAAGAAATTTGACCAAGAGGGAGATTTAGCGTTCTTAGAGTTTTTTGTTTTTTCTCTACACAAAAATTGATATATCATTTTCTTTATATAGGAATCCTTGTAAACAATTCAATAATTGTTTTGGACTTCCTTAAACAATTCTATAATTGTTATGAAGTTGTTAAACTTCTTTAAATGATAACATTGAATTAACATTTAATCGTAATTAACAATTTAACTCTTAAATTGTTAACATAACAATTTAACCCTTAATTGTTTACAATCACAACCCCTTGTAAAATCCAATTTAATATAAATAACTTTATTACCCTTGGTAGGTGCTAGCCAACCTTGGATAATCAACTCTCTTTAGCTATTTCTCTATTCTCCTTAGTTTTTATGTGTGACCTCTTAGGTTCACTGTGGCCTAGCCGTAGGCCCAATATCACAGTCTATTTCGATATGTTTTGTCATAACTCTTTATGAACAAAACTCCCACTAATTATGGTAGGCATCCAGCAATGCTCCATAACCCCTAAGTCACAATGAAGATATACTCCAACGAACCTTTTACAATCATACACGTTGTATAATCAAATCCTTCCGTTATCTAATCCCAATTAAGAATGGATTCATGGTATGTCAAAATCCTTATCTTAATTTTAATTTAATACATATGGAACGTGTCACTATGAAACAACCTTTCATGTAACATTTTGTATACCACAGACAGAGATTTCCCTTTTCAAATGTATCTTGACATTTGTATAGGAACTTGATATCAATCTATACCAAGTCAACGGATCCAATCTTGACTATCACTTGTCCTCACACATAAACAACACATGGCCAAATCGGCCTATTAACACATCTGGGTCGATCGTCCCATCATATGGCTTCATGTTAGGAATAGTGAATTTAGGTGGCATCTCAGCCAAGGCAATTGAATCCAAAAAAGGTGAATCTGCGTAATTGTAGGGTAGGCTCTTTTTGGTAGGTGTGGGCACTCCCAGTATGTGCCTCATTATGGCCTCCATATTCGCCAATATTTGCTCAAGAGGGGTGCATGTGGCTAATAGTTGAAAGTCGACACTCTGATTGTGCGCTTGCGATCTAGTCGGTCCTCCCAGACGAGTCATGTTATAGGGTGTGGATTAGGGATGTGTTCTAGGGTAGTTCGGCTGGAGGCTGGTGTATTCAGTCACCCCTTCGGGTTAGTCGATCCTAGTGTGATCGAACAGTTGTTTTGGCTGGCATGGATGATTAGGGGTGTACTCAGAGGATGGCTCGAGCTGTGGAGATGAATCATACCAGAATGGGTTTGTTGAGCATGGTATTGTCCACTCGACCCGTGAGGGAGAGTCGAGCCTAGTAAGGTTCGCGGGTGCGGGTTGTCAGTCATGACAGATTGGGTAGGGTTGCTGATGGTGGCTGATGTTTGCAATTGTGGGATTGGGATTGTCTAAGCAATAGGGTCAAGTGTGAGTGGTGGATCAGTTGGGTAAGGTGTTTGTTAGGATGGGTCGGTTGCGTTCAAGGTCGAGCCATCCGTTAAAGATGATTGGATGTGGGATGATTGCGGATCTCTATTCAAGCTTCTGGGGTCTGGGGTTGACAGGTTCTGCATGGAGCTCATCGGGAAGTGAAAACGATTCCTGGGCATCTGATCATGAGTTAAGTCGAGTGAGTAAAACTGGTTTACTTGCTCTCGTAGAGTTTGATTTTTAGCACGGATGCTTGCATTCTCAGCCTCTAGTGCTGCCACCTTATATGAATTCTATTGTATCATGGCTGTTAAAGCCTCGATTTTCGCCGAGAGATCTGTAAGAGCATTGTNGATAATAAATTAAAGCGGTTTATATCAAAATATTTATTTCAAAACAAGTTTACTGGTTTAACTTCTAGCCTTTGATTATGTCATGGTATGGTGTGCTTCAATGACGAAGACAAGTTTACCTATGTTGACTTAAAAATTTGTGGACTACATTTATGCTTGGCAGCCATGAAGCAACGGAGATAGCATATCTGATATTTTGTGTTTCTGTAGATGTTTATGAGAGGCTTATTCAGATTGGGAAGAAACCTGGGTTTTTTCAGTTGCTGGCTACACAAACTGTTAGTGCTGTTTGGCATGTGAGTATATTTTACCTTGTGATGTTCTGAGTGTGCTCTTTTTCTATATGTGGTTATCTATTGATTGCTCCAACATCATGTTAAAATAATGCACGAAACCTTTATTATGAGTTTTCTTTTGTGATATGTTTGTGCATATAAATAATCAGTAGGCATGTCCCAGTTACAAACGCATTTGACAATTTGTGGCTTTCCTGAACTCTACTCTGGCAATTTTACCTAATGAACGTTACTGCCAATGTACCTTCTTCTCTTTTCAAGAAAAACATATCACATATTAATTGGAATAATTATCCCTTTTTATTTATTTTTTGCTCTTTGATAGGACTATCTTTTGAGGATTATGATACATAATAGCAATTTTTAAACATGTCATCACTTATGGTCCTTGATGTGTGACCTTGTGTAATTTCTTTGGTCAATAGCCTTTGGATGGTTTATGACTACATAGTAGAGTGCCATATTATCAATTCTAGTAAGGAGCATGATATTCATCAGTTCTGCATCAGTGCTTTTCCCAGTATCAGTGTCTGGTGTTCCTCTAAAATTTCTGAATGGCTTGTTTCTTGTTCAATAGCTTTCCGTATTTCCTGTACTTGTCATTATTCTAGTCTCACATATACATATAAGCATGTGATGTGATATTTTTATATTTGTCTGGATGAAGAATAACCAGTTATAGCTTCATGTATTTCTATTTTATAGGATTGTGAAAGTTTTTAATGTCTTTACTAAGACTTTGCCATAAATGTAACCTTAATCTTTCCAATTTTGTCTTGTTGAATCTCAGGGTCTGTATCCTGGGTACATCGTATTCTTTGTTCAGTCAGCATTGATGATTGCTGGCTCAAGAGGTATTTGGTCTGACCACCCTTTTTGACCTTTGTTTTGTTAAATAATTAGCCCTTCATTTCCTCATATTTTGTTTTTCCCTGAGCAGTCATTTACAGATGGCAACAAGCACTGCCTCCAAAAATGGCTCTTGTTAAGCAGATAATGGCATTTCTCAACTTTATTTACACAATTTTGATTCTGAACTATTCCTGTGTTGGTTTCATGGTTAGTTCTTCCTTCTCTCTCACATACACTCACAAGTTTGAGTTTAAGAGATTGTAATTCGTGTTGTTTGGCGCACACAGGTATTAAGCATGCGGGAAACACTTGCCTCATATGGAAGCGTGTATTATATAGGAACCATTATTCCCATAGTGTTGATCCTCCTGGGTTCCATAATCAAACCAGCGAGGCGACCCAGATCGAAAGCTCGGAAAGAGCAGTGAGAATAAGATTGGAAAGAAACCACATTTTCTTGCCTTTTAGGCTTGTAATGAGATTCGAAGAGCAGCAGAGCCTGCTTTCTGTTGTTACTGGAAGAGATCTTTAACGCGTGTTTGATCTCTGAATTTGTCAAGTTTTAATTTAATCTTTGTTAACCACTTCACAATACAAGAGAGGAATGAAACTTGCTACTCTGAAAGTAGTAAAAAAAAATGTCATTAAAGGTTGAAACTTGAAAATTGAAAATGTTGTTACGAGGAACATCTATAGATGGATATGATGCTGCAATTAAGGTTAATTTTCGAGATGATCATACTTATAATTAGGAAAAGAAAAAGATGGTCCCCTCAAAACAGCTGCTTTCCTGTTTGCTTACAAAGGTTGCTACAGTTTTATTTTCAGTTTCCCTCTCCTTCTGTTTCTATTTTGTCTCTATATTTATCTTTAATTATGCTTTATTTTTTCATGCCACATTAGGATAAACAAAAATTACTCCCATCTCAATTTGTTCAAAGGCATAAGTTCAGCTTCTTATTTCGCAAATTTTATGAAATTTCAAACAATTTTTTGATGATTTTATAATTGAAAAACGAAACCTTGAGACATGTCTTTAAAAAAAAAAAATAAATAATAATAATAATAATTTATAATTTTGCCTGCAAAATAGATTGAAATGTAAAAGCATATATTATTATTTGCTTCCATGTTTGTCTCCTTCATCACGTAACTACTTCGCAAAAACACAACCATTCTGATATTTTTCTTCTTTCTTTATACCTTCATAGATTCTTCTCTTTGCTGTCCATTCCTTTTCCTTTTCCTTCTCTCTCAACTTTTCTCATTTCATTACATTTACATATAAATATACTCACTTCTTATCATTGCTTTTTACATTATTAATTACCATGAAGGTTCTTGTTTCCTCTTACTCCTCTGTGACTTGTAAAATTCCTCTTATCTTTTTCTGATTCTTTCCATCTTCCATAATTTCATCAAGACAATTTTTTACAAGGAACCCATGAAGTCCAAGGCTAAAGAGATGTTTTCATTCCCCAGAAAAAATAGTTCTGGTGATATTGATGGAGTTGACATGAATGTTGAAGAATGGGAAATTAGGCCTTGAGGAATGTTGGTTCAAAGGAGGAATTCAGAGTCTAATCAAACATCTGTTCAAGTTCCCACCATTAAAGTTAGAGTCAAATATGGCTCTACATATCATGAAGTTTGTATCAATTCTATAGCAAGCTTTGGTAATGACAAGTTCTTAAACTTTTTAGTCTCTTTTTCTTTGTTTTAATAGAGATCAAGGAGGAGTTTTAAGTGTTGTATGCGGCAGGTGAATTGAAGAAAATGCTAGCAGAACATACAGGATTACACCACCAAGATCAGAAGCTGATATACAAAAAGAAAGAGAGAGATTCCAAACTGTATTTAGATGTTGCAGGAGTGAAAAACGGATCAAAAATGGTGTTGGTTGAAGACATTGCAAGCCGAGAAAGGCGGTGCTTAGAGATGATCCAAAATGCTAAGATTGAAAAGGCTTCAAAATCTTTGTCCCAAATCAGATTGCAAGTCGACAAACTTGCGGACCAGGTAAGTTTTGTTATTATACATTTATCAGATTGTCTTTTGGTGAAAATCAGTTTCAAAATTTAGATAAGAACACGTTTCCCTTTTGCTGAATTGGATAGGTTACAGTTTTGGAAGCTAGTGCTTCTAGAGGGGAGAGAATCACAGATAATTTGATTGGAATGCTGATGACAGAATTAGTTAAATTGGATGAAATTGCAATTGAGGGAGATCTAAAGCTGCAAAAGAGAATGCAGGTAATTTGGCATTTGTTATTTCTTTATTGTTACATACTAAAGCAGAAAGTTTATTGATTCTTATTATTGTTTAAGGAAAAGAGTTCAAAAGTGCATAGAAATTCTTGATATGTTAAAGCTTAACAGTAAAGCAGGCAAAATCCCACTTCAGAAAAAAGATAAAATACCAAAACCATTGCAGAAGCATCAGGTGCAATCAAAGCAGAGGAATCTGACAGAGCAAAGGCCAGTGCAGCAACAACCAACGGGACATTCGCCATCTGTCGTGGTCACGACAAAATGGGAAACTTTTGATTGAAGTATGGAGTTAAAGAATACAGTTTGAATTCGATTCTCATTGTTGTTCATACTTCAGTTTCTTTACGCACTGGTGATTGGATCTAAAAGATTTGTTTGTTCAACACTAACCAAGTAATTGAGATGCTGATTTGCAACTTATAAATTTGTCATTGCTGGTGGGAAATTTGTCCTTTGCAAATTGTATACACAGGGTGGAATGTATATGTGAAGAATTTTTGGTTTCTTTGTGTGTTTGTCAGTTAGGACCATTAGGCCAACCGGTAACCAATGAAAAAGTCAATTAATGATCTTTCTGGCTTGGGACCATAACTTTTAATGATTCATATGAAAATGCAGATCTTTGCATGAAAGAGAAAGTGATTTTGGAGAGGATAATAACATAAGCCAATCATACCAAAATATTAAGGTACCGGCATTTTGACTTTGGAGGCCATAATTCGAAAACTGTGGCATCTGATATGGCTTCATCATTTAGAATCATTATTACTTCCATTGTGTTATAAAAATTACAGAATCAAGTAAAACCTTTTAAAATCTGTAGAATAGTTAATTTTATGCACTCAATGATAAATAATTAAATATACAATGTCCTTCTTCATTGCCTCAAGAGTACACCAAAAAAAATCTAGAAAAGGGTAATTCATAATGCTAAGAGAAAGACTTAATCCCCCTGAGTTTTGGTGTCATAATAAAGGTCCCGACCTTACAAATACTAGAAAATTATCTTCCTCAAACTGTAAAATCTGTTTAGAGTGCAGAAAATCTAGTAACCTAGAGTTGCAGAGAAAAACTGGAAAGTTGAAAGATAGAAAAATGATGATAATGCTTCAATATTGATTTTTCAAGTTCAAGAAACATCCTTTTATATTACTATCTGTTGAACAATATGAAAGATGATCTCAACCATTAAGAAACACAGAAAAACAGAGTAAACTTGACTGCCGTTGGATTTGCAGGGAGTGAGAGCAATTTGATCAACTTGCTTAACTACTTATTCAGCAACTTGTGCAACTTGATTTTGGGCGGGAAGCATAACTGAAAACCAACAACTTCAGCTAACCAAAATAACAGTCAATAATAGTCCTTACTCCAGCACATTATTTGTTGTTTGAGTGCAGCTTGTATTCTCAATATCGTCCCTCAAGCCAACTCAAACAAAAATTCCTTCAGAAACTAGACTTCAACATCATCTTTTAGATAGAGTGCAGCCAGCATACATATATTGGACATCGTCCCTTAACCAACTTAATGAAAATTTCGAGATCATAAACAAGAAGCTGAACTGTGTTGCTGCTGCTAATCCTCAAATTGGTTTCAAAGTCAAGACATCATCACTACTGATATCAATTTTGTTTCAATTCAAGTTTTGGATGACCATCAATATCATCCCTCAGACAAGACTTGAATTGAGCAGCTGAGGGGATAGGCAAGACAATAAATTTTTCACGTAGCATATGAAACCTGGGACCCAAAAGTGGCTTGGTGAGAATATCAGCAGTTTGAAATTCAGAGGAGACACATTGAATAGCTAGCCTTTTGGAGGTGACCATTTCGTGCACAAAGTGCACATCAATTTCGATGTGCTTTGTGCAAGCATGAAAAACAGGGTTGGAAGCTAGAGTAGCAGCATTAGTGTTGTCACACCAGAGAATCGGTGGAGGAGATAAAGGGATGCACAATTCTTGGAACAGGTTCTGCATCCATGCCATTTCAGTGGAGGCTTGAGCAAGAGCACGGTATTCTACCTCTGTGGAAGATAAGGCAACAACATGTTGCTTCTTGGAGCTTCATTAGACTAGATTTGGTCTAAGATAGATGCAATAGCCACTAGTGGAGCGACTATCAGAGAGGTTGCTTGCCCTGTCAGCATCAACATAGCCTTCAAGTTTCAAATCACCACCAGATTGCAAAGTTAAACCATAGTTAGAGGTGCCCTTAATGTACCGAAGGATATGCTTACATGCCTGCCAATGATTGAGGGCAGGGGCCTTAAGAACTAATTGAGTTTATTTACGGCAAAAGAGAGATCAGGTCTAGTCAAGATAAGGTACTAAAGAGCACCAATGGTGCTTTGGTAGACAGAAGGCTGATCAAACAGCGGGCTATCTTCCATACTGATAAACAACCAAAGGAGTAACACACGAATTACAATTCTTCATTTGTATCTTTAGCAATAAGTCATGTACATGCTTCTACTGACTGAGTTTTAATCCATGGTCTGTACGAAGAATCTCCATGCCTAAGAAATAGTGCAAATCACCAAGATCCTTTAAAGCAAATTTATTATTCAAATCATTGACTATGCGACTAATCAAATGGTTGTCGGGTCCAGTGATGACTATATCATCAACATAAACTAACATATATAGTGTGTTAGTCCCATGAGTATAATAGAAAAGGCTAGTGTCACAAGTAGCATTCTTGAAACCCCAGGCTATAAGAGCTCATTTCATCTTGTCAAACTAGGCTCTAGGAGCTTGTTTCAGGCCATAAAATGCCTTGTTGAGTTTACAAACATGATGAGGAAACTCTGAACTAATGAATCTTTGAACCATGTAGACATTCTTGGATAAGTCTCCATTCAAAAAGGCGTTATTTACACCAACTTGTTTGACTTGCCAACCACGAGTGACTGCTAATGAAAGAATAATGCGAATGGTTGAGGCTTTAATAATAGGAGAGAAAGTCTCTAGATAGTCCAAACTTGGTGTTTGAAGAAACCCCTTAGCTAAAAGTATAGCTTTGTACCTTTGTAGGGTCCCATCAGCATTATATTTTCACTCTAAAATCCCACTTATTTTCAACAATATTCATATCATCTGAGCATGAAACTAGAGACCAACTATTGTTGTTCAATAGAGCTTTGTATTCTTCAACCATAGCTTGGTACCAGTTAGGATCTTGTAGTGCTGCAGAAACTGATGTAGGTTCAAAGGAGGAAGGCTTCGAAGAAGAAGCTGTTAATGCAGTTGCTTTAGTTCGAGTAATCATAGGATGATGATTTTGAGTTGAAGGCACAATAACTTTGGCAGGATTTTGTAAGTCAAAATATAAGGGAATGCTGGGATAAGACTTGCTAGAGGAAATAGTTTGAGGTGACTAAATAAGATCAGAAGACTATTGAGATT